ATCTTTTTTATGATCGAAAATATGAAAACACAAGGTTTTTAAAAAATTTTTTTAATGTTTATTTATTTTTAAGAGGAGGGGGGAGGGGCAGAGAGAGGGAGACACAGAATCCCAAGCTGGCTACAGGTTCTGAGCTGTCAGCATAGCTGGACATAGTGCTGGAACCCACCAACTGTGAGATCATAACCTGAGCTGAAGTCAGACGATTAACCAACTGAGCCGCCCAGGAGATAAGAAGGTTTTGTTTTATTTTGTTTTGCTAATTTAAGTATATACAGATGAGAAATAAATGCCTTTGTTGAACTAGACTATTTGGACTACTTGTTACTTGGTTTACTCCCTCTCTAGGCAGCTCTAGAGTATCTGATATACTCGGAGCTCCTTCTGAGCAGGTTCCTTAAGCAGATAACCATGTTTTCTACCACAGGGGAGGTACCCTGCTACCCTGATCATACCTGATTGACTAGGATAAATGTCTGACATTAGAACATTCCTAAAGGTGAGGAAACTATCTCAAAGACAGCCAGAACTCCCATGAAAACAGGGAAATTGCCAGTAATAACAGGAATATTACCTGAGTTAAAACAACAAATAGTGGAGTCACTATACTGGCAAATTTACTGGTGTAGAGAATCACAGCAAGAAATAACCTGATGGTGAACATACCCTAGAACTCTACGGAATCCTGAAAGACTTTCTAGCTCCTGAATGACATCCCCACCGCCATGATATCTGATGCTGGGATACATGAAATAATTATCTTTCTTCTCTCTGTATGCCCCCCCTTTTTTTTTTTTGCAGGGAAGGTAATTAATACTATTAATGTGACACATCAACTCCCTTATAATCTGCAATTTATAACCACCACACTTAAGGGGATCAAACAAACAAAAAAGGGACCAGAATGAAGAAACAGAGGCTAACTATGAAAAACTAAATAATTTAGATCCTTTTTCTTTACACACATCCATAAGAAAATCAATTGTATTATCTAAATGGAAAAAGTACGACGTCACTAGAACACACAAGATCCCATAAGGTCCCATTACATAAACTGAGGACTGTGAGAATTATGAGCATATTGGCCTTGGGACGCCTAGTAGCTCAGTCAGCTAAACGTCTAACTCTTGATTTTGGCCCAGGTAATGATCTCATGGTTTGTGAGTTCAAGCCCCTCATGGGACTCCGCTCTGACAGCAAGGAGCCTGCTTGGGATTCTGTCTCCCTCGCTCTCTGCCCCTCCCCCTCCCTCCCTCTCTCTTTCAAAAATAAATTAACATTAAAAAAAAAAATACTGGCCTTATGTTTTGTATGATTTATAGATATTGAATCCTAGCCCTTATCTCATCAAGAGTTTTTCCAGTTGGGGCACCTAGGTGGCTCAGTCAGTTAAGCATGCGCCTTCAGCCCAGGTCAATGTCTTGGGTTCACAAATTCAAACCCCGCATCAGGCTCTCTGCTGTCAGTGGAGCCCTCTTCAGATCCTCTGTCTCCCTCTCTCAGTCTGCCTCTTCCCCCATTGGCTCTCTCTCTCAAAAATAAACAAACATTACAGAAAATTTACATTAAAAATTTACATTAAATTTTAAAATTTACATAAAAAATTTACATTAAAAAAAAAAAAAGTTTATCCAGTCAACTGAAAAAAGGCAGGAAAACTTGAATACCTTAACAAAATCTCATTCTCAGAATTACCCAAGCTGTAAAATTTTAGAACTTAGTTTTTGAACAAAAGTCAGTCACGGGTAAGATAACATGCAACTCAAATAAAATCAGACACTCATATGAAATAAAACCTAATTTTAAATGAACATTGAGTGACTGAGAAATTAAAATAAGGATTAAACATAAGGAAGTAAGAATTAAAACAAGTATTTTCTCTGTTCTTTCCAAAACCTGAAAAGTGACTCAATGCCCTATCTTGATTAACTAGTAAGCAGCTGCTCATTTCTCACCCAGTTCTACCTGGCCAGAAACATTTTCAATTTAGCATAGCTTGAAAGGGAAGGGCAGGTGGAATGAATATAAAATCATTAAAAGTGGGGATTTTTATACAAGAGTAAAACCAGACAAATATCTTATTTTACACAAACAAGAACGTTAATCCTAACAGAGGGCTCTCTCCTTCTAGACCTTCTTCCCAGTCTGTTTTTCTCTCTTTTACAAATATTCAAAATATCCTTGAAAAAAACAGTATTCAACATACAGAAGGTCAAAGCAAACTAATTCACAAGTAGTGGAACTTCTCTGGTCCCCGCCTCCCCGCAAATATCTTCCCAGTTCCTCCTTTCCACTAAAATATCTTACGTGGAATGCCAAAGTAAAAAGGCCAAGCAGTTCTGGTCCAAGGGGGACCTCTGCAAAACTCTGGGATTTCTTACATTATTATCTGAAAGGCATTTAAGCAAAGGAGGCCATGAAACATTGCGGGGGGG